CTGCCCAGATCAGTGAGTGCAGCAGGCAAACTAGTGTCCTTATCAGGCTAGGTTTTGACGTTACTGGAGATCAAAATATCGATAGTTATTTAGTCAATTTTCACAGCATATGTATGCAACTGACGCGAATGTGGTGTACTTACCACTTCGATTAACACCTGTCCTCCAATGGCGTTCGCCATGCAACTTTGTGTGTCCAACACCCGCACGGCCGTTCATTCAAATACGCACTCTTATTATGCTACTGCCTGTTAATTAGTAGTACCGCGAGTTTTAAAAAGGTCTATTTGAGCACCCGAGGTGAGAGAGAATGTTGTTTTATCTTTTGCGGTCAGCAGCAATAGTCGCCAACAGACGAACAGACACAGATTAAATTAAAAGAGAGTAACGACCAGAGTATGGCCTGATGCAATGGAGTACCAAGTTAAACTGTGTTTTGTTCAAGATTGTCAGATGTTAAGAAGTCACAATCACGCAGTGTAGTCATACAAACAAGCTCGTGATTGCTGCACAAAAGCTGATCGAAATATATCTATCAGTCATTCCCAGCGGACACCCGTAAGCACATTACGATTACTCAATGCCATTTTATCGAGGTAGCTAAACAACAATGGTTATCTCCAAACGCTATGAAGTTGATGGCGGATTCCAAGCTGCGAACTACCTAACCAGTGGTGCATACGCACACACAGCTGGAATTCCCGCAATTCGACTGGAGTATTAAGCACAGCATTAGAAGCTTTGGCTTATATTGACTGCCCCGTTTATTTTCCATGTAACTATATTGCTGTGCTTCCTGTTGGTTGCAGCTCCCAGAGTACAGATGAAGTACATAATGAACAAGTTGTCGTACTAAAGCCTATTACAGGGTAGTGGAAGTATGTATCAAGATCCTCGTATTTGTGTTCTGCCAGTGGCCACAACGAACTCCCCAATTATTTTCCACTGATGATGGTAGTACGTCCAAAGACGAAATGTTTATAATCAAACTATCCAGCTCGGCAAGCAAACCTACAAATGAATAGCGAATATAGCGACCGTCACAATAGACCGTTTGTACAGTGGTGATCGAATGCTACCAGCGCGCAATAGTCCGCCAAGTGAGGTCCGAACGCCTGCGCACGACCGAAGGGAGTTATGCACAGATATCGATGCATGTGTGCGTTCTCGAATAGTTAGGTAAGGCAGGAAAGTAGCATCCAGACATCCGGGAACTATGAACGTACTGGGAGAAGATAATAATGGGGTAACGGTTTATTGCAGGTACAAAAGGCAATAGATGTTGGGGTGCAAAGTGTAGGAGAAAAACTAGCCTGTCAGCTCAATAATACTCATTTAGATGGGCTGATAAGTTTATCCCTATCAACACGTATGTGCATGTCTGGTATTATGGGATGGTTTAGGTACGAACCGTTTTCCTGCTTTATTTTGTCTACCAATCAATCACGCAATGCAGATGGCTTAAAGTGCTCTCATAAGTTTTAAGCACAAATAACATTGTTGTAAATGTTAAATACTTTAGAATAGTGGTCTATTAATTAATGTGATGGCTCAGCCGAATGCATTACGCGGTTCACCGCATCTGGACTTATCGGCTTGGTAAAGAGACCAAGTTTTAAGGGGTGACGATAAACGTGGACCAAGTTCTGGAACATCTGGTAAGACAGTATGATGCGTCACAGTGGTTACTGCCCTAGCCAGTTAGAGTCGTTGAAACCGAAATTAAGCGTGGTGATCAAATGGTCTAAATTGCGCTCAATGCGTCATTGGCAGCACACGAACCGTGTAGTTTTACGTACTTCGGTAAAACAGAACTACATTTATGCATTCTACTGCACAAGCTGACACCAAATATCTCATCATCTGAAGGCATAGCTGGCTGTTCGTTCGAGTCGAAAAGTGTCGATAAGGCGGTGTCCGGGTAGTCATGGTCCTTGTCATCTGTTCCTAGATACAACTTAAAAGATAACTTTTACTGGAGTTGATGCATTGGCTATTGCAGTCATGCATGATCATTTAAGTGTAGAGAAAAGGAATGCATGTAATCAGAAGTTGCTCCACAACGATGTGATAAGAGTATGGCAGTGAAACACAATTTCCTGGCCCTCCAGGTTGAGGGTTGGCGTGATGGTGGCCAATTATTACTTATAACGGACTCTCTGTAGCCCGATGTATGATTCCGGCTGCCTTGAGGTGAGATTTTCAAACCAAACGCTTTGGCTGAGAACTCTAATCGTTCTTCGCTCTAAGGTTGGGTAACCTTCCCATGCAACACAAGAAAACGAGATAAATAATTTCTTTATGTACTAGTCGTGGAAGGCGATAATCAACGGCGTCTTGCTTTTTGCACCGAACATTTATACTGATAAGGATGACATTGCTCACATCATACTGTTTTCATATTGCTCCTCTCAATTTTTTCATCTTTATCGTTCAGGTTTATCAACATCATCACCAACACACGCAAGCTTAAAGTGAGAAACACACCTAAGCTACTGTGCCGTCCAGTTTCAGTTTCATTTTATTCCCAATTCCTAGCCCTCTTCCACCTTGCTTTAATAGGAGCTTGCTTACTAGTTTCGACTCACACGGAATCGTAGAGAACCGTCGTGACCCAATAGCAAACCTAATGTCAAACCAAGTTAACAATTAGAGTTCATTGGCTTTAATGTCGAATCAATGATATTCCCTAAAACTCGCATGTTTAAGCATGCGCAATTAGTTACAAATCGCCAAACAAATAACACTTGCCCGATCATTAGACCCATCGACCGAAATCTACGCCTTAGCGAAAACCTGCCTGCAAGACACGAGCTCATTGCTCAATCTACGAGCCCCCTCATGTGATACTAGCGGTACTGATTACTGGTTCGAAGCAGCGAGTAGAGCTTTCTCTGTGTAGCTGCATCATTCGTCGCTTTTGGACATATACTCATTATGTTGTATTCCGCTCTGTATATTTTGCGTCTGCAGTGTTTGTCAAGGAGTATCTTAAATTCCGACACTGAGTTTGCCTCAACTATGTGTTGCGGCAGGTCGTTCCATACATTCACCACTCTGCGTTCGAAACATAATTGGTGAGCGACCCGCTTCAAATCCGGTACGACAAGTTTATACCGGTGTCCTCGCGTGCAGCTTGGTGTGCGCAGATGAAGCAGTTGTCTCAACATGGGGTAATCACTCAGATGTAATATCCGGTGCGTCATGACGAGGTCAACCCTCAGTCGACGATAAGCTAGGGTGTACAACCCTAGTTTCTTACATCGGTCTTCGTATGGCATACCTCGTAAGTTGGGAATCAGCCTGGTGGCTACATGCTGCACTCGCTCAAGCTTTTCTACCTCGCCCCGGGTGATGGGACAATACGCGGGAGAGCCATACTCTAGCATTGGTCGTATTATCGAGACGAAGAGGCGAGTAGCAATCTCTTCGGACCAAGTGCTGAAGCTGCGCCTGAGCGCCCAAAGCATCCGAAGGCTATTTTGGTACAGCCTATTCGTGTTATCAATGGACTTTAGGTCGTAGCGTGAGAGTACACCGAGGTCGCGCACGAAAGGCGCGGGATGCAACGGTTGACCAGCCACCATGTAGGTTAGGCTGCGCTCACACTTACCCAGCCTCATGAATTGCGACTTGACCGGGTTGATTGGGAGGTTGACCTCTGCAGACCACGTGGAGAGGCGGTCGAAATCCTGCTGAAGTAAATCACAATCATTGAGTGTGCGGATTACTCTCCACACCTTCAAGTCATCTGCGAACAACACACAAGGTGATTGGAATAGCTGAGGCACATCGTTTACATGGATCAGAAACAAAATCGGCCCCAGTACAGTGCCTTGGGGCACGCCGCTGCTCGATGGATACCAGTCGGTTAGATGGTTGTCCACCTGGACCCTCCACTTTCGATCAACAAGGAAATTCCTGATCCACTGGTGCAGCGAACCACCAACACCGCACATCCTCAGCCTGTCGAGGAGCACTGCATGATTTATCTTGTCAAAAGCCTTACTGAAGTCAATGTAAATGACGTCGACTGATTGGCCTTGGTTCAGCGCTTGTAACCATTCGTGCCTCGTCAACAGTAGGCTGGTGATGCACGAGCGACCTTTCATGAAACCATGTTGTCCGGAGATCAACAGGTTTTTCGACTCGAGAAGCTGCAGAAAGCTCTTCTTCACGATCTTCTCGAGCGCCTTTGCCGAAACAGCGATCAGGCAGATCGGCCGGTAGTTATCCACTTTGCTTGGGTTACCCCCTTTCGGTATGGGTTTTACGACTGAGCATTTCCAGTCATCCGGTAATAGTCTAGTGGATAGTGACCTGTTAAACAGCTCAGTTACAGAAGGCGCGATGATGGCCGATAGGGACTTGAGGATCAGTGTGTGGATACCATCTGGCCCAGCAGGCTTCATCACGTCAAGATTTGCTAGAAGCTTGCGTATATCCTCAATATTGTCAAGTTCAGCTGGAGCGGCCCGGGTATCATCCAGCCCAATGGGTTAAACTAGGTACACTTTGGAGCACCCAGAGAAACAAACAAATTGGTCAGCGTTTAGAGGTTAAAATAGTTTAGCTTCCTGTCTATGTATAATTGCGGATAAAACAGTCAATGCACTCATCGCCTCAAAAATTCCTTATCTTGTTGACCGATACCAGGCTCCACTACACCAGATTACAGTTGAGAAACCTGAATGAGTATGGGCAACATCAAGTAGCCCAGACCCCTAACAGAATTGTAGGGGACTGCTTAACCGGTGGCGTATGAACTAAAACGGGGAAAATTGGGAAACTAAAACTGAAGTTCAATTAATTGCACTCATAAGACGAACGAATTATCGTCCGAAAAGTTACATGAGGCATGACAAACATCGACTGGACAGCTAGATGGCCACAACCTTAAAGAGGAGAGGCGGGCATTGTTAATAGTAAATCAGTGAGGGCATTCAGGCACCTGACAGTCGGTCAGTGTAAAAATAAGAAATTCAAAGTTAGAAAAAAAGTTATTCAAAACCTGCAGACGAAACAAACACCATAGAAAGGTGAAACGTCCGAATTGCTGACCCAGATGATTCTTCGAGCGCTTCATGGGGTACTTCGCCAGGATTTGGCAAATAATGCACAATAGCGTCAAGCAAAGGTTGAACGCCGCGATTTCGCAAAGCAGAACCAACCAGTACTGGTACAAATTTATGGGAAATAACAGCTCGACGTACGGCAGCTGTTAGCTGGTCTCCGCTGATAGGGGCCTCTGTTAAAAAGCATTCCGCTACTGAGTCATCGCCCTCGGCTAAACGCTCTGAAACGAAACAAATGATTCGATGAATGTGGCGAAAGTGAGAACGAGGGTGATTGGGAAAAGGAAGAGCAACTTTTAAGGTTACATGCTAAGGGTAACTTTATCCTACAGTGGGGTATTAACAACACCGCTACTGATGAAATGTCACCCAAGCTTTCTAAGAGGTGCGCCTAATGCAGACGGCTTCTGAGTGAAAGACATGGAGTATCCACCCAGCCAACTGCTACATCAGTTCCCCCTTCCCTTTTTACAGTGGGATCAGCCGGTATCCTGAGATTTCGTTCAAATGAGTAAGGTATTGTCAAACAGAAAGTGAGCGACTGATGAATAAAGAATCTAACCAAATTTGCTAAGAGACCCAGTGAATAATTCGATGGGTCTTATCAAAAAGCAGCTGACGGACATCACGATGTCAGCATGTCGGTCGTCCCGCAGGCACCTCTCATAGAAGACAAGCAGCCTCTCACAGATGTATCAAGTTACAGTGGCCATCTATCTGCAGTAGTGTCGGCCATATTGTAGCCATGTCTATCCCACCATTAATCGATGAATCGCATGTCGCACCAGCTTCGAGGTTTGGAAAAGTTTCACAAGTATCACTGGTGATGTGAAAATCGGAGTTGACAAATGAACCGACTACCGATAGCTGTTCCGTGACAGGGACAGATGCGTGGAAAATGTATGTATCAGTGCAATTATGTAGTAGCGGCTTAAACTTTGACATCATGAAACACGCGGCTACGTGTGCAGTGTTCTGAATCCGCGTACTCAACCATGCTCGTATATGAACCAAGTGGGACCGTCCAGAATTGTCAATCGGTTAATTCGAAAAGCATTTATTTCAGCTGAAACGGATATTAGTCTTCCATGATCGTTTTGACTAAGTGTGAAATTTCTACGTATCAAAACAGCAAAATAACTACAGTACTCAGGCATTAGGCCACAAGCCAGCTCAAAAGGAATGCCAACAATATGCATTAGTGTTACATACGTAATTCGTTCGCCTCTCTTCTCAGCACCGTGCTTTGCCATTGTAAAACTATCATACCACATGAATACTGAATACTGTATTATAGAGCAAGTAGAAAGGAATTCTGTATAACTCCTACGAAATATGTTGAAAAAGGTTATAAAAAATGGCAGCCGTGAATATCGTTATCGTCCTCATAAAACATTTAAAATATCTGACTCACGGTATTTCAGGACTCACAAATGTAACATGTCATCGTCAGTGTGCAATCGTGCTCTGAATCGAATAGTAGTAAAATATAAATCTAACAACGTTTTGAACTGCTGCACAGATGTTGCCTCATCACATGTAAAGGCAAACTGTTCTAAATATTTATGACTCTTCGTTGAAAGCACAGTGGGTGGGGAACTCGCTTCACAACCGGCACGACGAGTTTGTATCAGTATCCGCGTGTGCTGCATGTCGCTCGTAAGTGCAGCATTGGCCTCAGCATGCGGAAGTCACCGAGATGTAGAATACGGTAGGTCATAATGAGGTCGACTCGCACCCGACGGTAGGACAATGTGTAGAGTCCTAGTTTCTCGCACCGGTCTTCATACCCCAAGCCACGTAAACTCGGGATGAGCCTGGTAGCAACGTGTTGGAACCGGTCGATTTTTTGTGCCTCGCCTCGGGTAATCGAAAATAGGCGGGAGAATCGTACTCTAGCATTGGGCTAATGATGAAAGAAAAGAGGGGTGGGAACCTCTTCAGACCATGTGCCAAAGCTATGTTTGAGCACCCAAAGCATGCGCAGTCCGTTACGATATAGCATGTTCGTGTTGTCCACGGACTTCAAATCGTAGCGCGTGAGTATACCTAGGTCATTCACGGAGGGTGTGGGATCCAGTGGTTGGCCGTCAAGGGTGTAGGATCGGCCGTCAGCACCCTTCCCCAGGCTCATAAATACAGACTTGGCTGGGTTGACCGGGAGATGAACTGATGCAGACCATGTGGATAGGCGGTTGAGGTCTAGCTGAAGTATGCCAGAGCCGTCGGGAGCATCAATTTCTCTCCATGCCGTCCGCAAACAAGGCACACGGCGACTGGAGAAGCTGACGTCGATCGTGGATCAGGAACAGAGTGTGCCCCAGCACAGTGCCTTGAAGCACGCCATTTGTAGAGGGATACCAGTCAGTTAGATGGTCGTCGACCTGTACCCTCCACTTTCGTCCAACAAAAAAGTCGCGGATCGACCGGTGCAGTGAGCCACCGATACCGCACATCCTGAGCTTGTTAAGGAGAACCGCATGGCTGACCTTGTCGAACGCTTTACTGAAAATGATGAATATCACATCGACAAACTTCCCCTTGCTTATTGTACTCAACTACTCATGCCTCGTCACAAGCAAGTTTGTAATACATGAGCAGCCTTGCATAAAACCGTGCTGTGCGGGCGTCAGGACCTCTTTTGAGTGTAACAACTGCAATAATGCCGTTTTTACACTTTTTCAGCAACCTTTGCCACAATAGGTGTCAGACAAATTGGCCTAGGGTCACCGCCTTTCCGAATAGGCTTCACCACCGAACATTTCCAGTCAACCGGCAACGAACCTTCGGACAGCGACCTGTTGAAAAGGTCAGTCAAGACAGGAGAGATGATGGCCGAAAGTGACTTAGGAATCAGTGGGTGAAGCCCATCAGGTCCGGCAGGTTTGTTGCCGTCAAGTAGTTGACATACCTCTTCAACGCCGCAATCCAGACTGTGGAGTTCGGTAAAAGCGGTACACGTAGCACTCGGAACAGACACCTGGTCATTTGTAAATACAGAAGCGAAATGCGCCTACACCTTGACCTTGAATGTTTGCTTAGGGCATTAGGGTTTTCAGGTAAGTCTCCCATCTCTCCCTCTTATTATTCTTTGTTTCATAGATGCTCATGGTTGTATGGCAGCGAAGCATCAGTTCAAATGGCTAATGTGCTGCTGTTGATGACGAGTCATTGGCAGAGCCAGAGACGAGGAATCTGGCCCACAGTCTGCGCGGCCTCCGAGCCAGATTTCCATACTGCTTGTTAAACCAATGAGGCTTAATCGGTCTAACATTCCGACATTTCAAGGACACAAAGTGGGAACACAGTGATGTCAATCTCCCTTTTATAAATATCCAACAGTCTTCTACAGATGCAGCTTGTGACAGAGGCCAATCCAGTTGGCTCGCGGTTCGAACTAGTCCGTCGAAGTCCATTTTCCAATAGTTGTAAGCTGGTTCCAGCGGACGTGAATACAGCAAACGTAATTCCATATCAGCTATGAGCCCTGCGTGGTCGCTCGTAGCCAGGGGCTCCAGGATCCTAACGTCACGCACTCGTTGTTCGTAGCTCGTTAACATCAGGTCGAGACAGGACGGGATTAACGTGTTGTTATGCGTGTTCGCTGGCATATGTGTTGCGATGCACCAGTTTCAAGTACCAAATCCACGAACTTTGCTGCAACCTCACCATGTCCAGGCATCAAACACACATCAGGCCATCGTATTCGAAAACAGTTAAAATCGCCCACAAGTAGAAAATGTGGACGACTCATGTGGGTTCAAAGGTAGGGCAGCCAATCCAAACGACTCAGGGGGCTGCGATAAACTGCGCCCACAAGTAGTTCTCCGCGCCTGAGGCGGATGGAGCACCACAGTAGTTCGCACAAACCATCGTCACTTCGGTAGGTGCTCACAAGTCTCCCACGCAGGGAAGACCGGATGTAAAGCAAGATACCACCGCGGGCATTCGTTAGTTTATCGTATTAGAAGCACGAGTAATCGTTGAGTTCAAGTTCCTGGGTGTATAAATCCTAATGCAGCCATGTCTCTGCGAGTCCCACTACGTCTGGCCACTCAGACGCAACGAAACAACAAAGCTCATCGCGCTTGATCGGAACACTGCAAACATTTGTGAAGGCTACTCGCAGGCCGCAGCAGGAGCCGCCGGGTGTGCTTGAAGTGTGAGCAGCCCGTTTATCCAGATTGGCAGATTTTTGGAAACCACCCGAAAATTTACGATACAAAGATTTTTTTCCCCCTCACCAGTACGTCTTTTCAGCTCAGTAATGGCAGACTTGAGCCGCTCCCTGTCTACTGGGTCCAGGTCTGGACGAACATGGATCTTTAAACTCTTCAGCCTACTTAGGCAGGACATGATCAGTCTTGGATTGGCTTCGTCCACAAAAGTGATTCTCATAGGCCGATTTTGTTGAGCATCTTGCTTTCCAAGACGGGTACTTTGCCTCACATTTACCGAGTCCTCACCAGTGTCGAGGAGTCTGTCAATTACACTCTGTAAAAACTCGGCATGGTGATCGTAGCGCACTTGGGATGATGGATCACTGGACTCCTTCTGGACTGCTTCTCGAGGCAATAGATGCACACGCAATGGCTGGGTTGTGGAATACTGAATAACGAACAAGTGACTGACCCAGTCGTTGACGCAAAAGGTATAGGCATAACAACTGGTCATTCTGCGGACCGCATAATGGGTAGAAGACAGGCAAAACATCTCTAAACCCCGAAAGTAGTTGGTAGCGATATCAATGCAACATAAATTATCACCAAGTCGATAGTCTTGCGTTAACGCGAGTGCTATGTATGGTGCCTACGTTAAATACGTGGTGGAGGAGCTTCAAACACAAAAACAGATGCCGCTGACTGTCGTGTTGGTATTGGCCAGAGGACAACATCGGACAGCGCGCGGCATTTCAAAGTAGTACTTACCAATGAATTCCATACGGCGGTCCTTCACCTCTTGTAGCATGTGCGATGGAACAGAATCTTCGCGAACTGTTAGCCTGGAAGGTAAACGAGGCTTCAGAGACGATCGTAACTGGCGCAGACTAGTAATGGACACCCAATATCAACCGAATTTTAAGACGTTATGACATCGAGGGAGAACTAAACACTCAAGTAAGATATTTGAATCGTCGACGAACAATAACTGGCTTTGGACTGTAAGTTAATGAGACCAAGCGACTTTTCACTTGAGGCCTCCGACAGTGCAGGTTACTGTCATCTTTCCTTACATAGGTGAAAGGTACGATAAAAGTTATCTAGGCTAATGGACAAGGTGAACAGAGTGAACCACGAGGTACTCTTTCGTAAACGGAGGACATAGGGAATCGGTGGCACGTTACTTCAGTGGTTACACGAGTTTATTGTGGGACGAAGGTTTAGAGTGAAGGTCAATGACTACCTGACAGACTGGTTCCCATCGACCAGTGGCGTGCCACAAGGAACTGTAGTTGGGCCAGTATTATTTCTTATTCATATCAATGATCTTCCGCAGCAGCTCCAGTCACCATGTGCCCTGTTTGTAGGTGATTTGAAAATCTGGAGGATCATTGAAAATCAGAACGACTGCGCTCACTTCCAGCATGAGTTAGAGCGACTGTCAACGTGGTCCGCTGAAATGCAACTCCCTCTTAGCGCAAGCAAGTCGGAGTTCATCAGTATCACCAGACGTCCAGCCACTTGATCATACAATTTGGACGGCCAGTTGCTCCACCTTAACACATCTGTCAGAGACTTAGGAGTTCTCTCGCGACATGATATGAGATCACTAGAAAATAGAGAAATTGTACCGTGCGGGACTTCGTATGCTCTGGGCACTAAGACGCAGTTTCTCCACATGGTCCGAAGAAACCGTCCCTCGTCTATTCACCTCGCTCATTAGACCAATCCTTGAATACGGTGCCCCAGCCTACCATTCGATAACCCAGTGGGGAAATGAAAAGCTAGGGAGAATACAGCATATCGCAACTAGAATGATACCGAGTCTACGAAAGCTTCCGTATGAAAAACGTTGTGAAAGGCTCGGACACACTATCCTACCGCCGAGTAAGAATTGACCTTATTATGACATCGAGTACTACACTTGAAGCACTTCCCATACTGTGGCCAGTATTTCACCTGCGGGAACCCTGTAACACCCGAGGACACCGTTACAAACTCAGGGTCCCCTGCATGAACAAAGTATCACATCAGCTTTGTATCGAACGAAGAATCGTAAACCTATGGAATACACTACCAGAAGGGTTAATAGAGGCCGATTCTGTGAAATGTTTTAAAACACGTATCGATGATTATTTCGAAAACCTGTGCTTTTGTGAAAGGATGCACATACAATGCCAAAAGAAGACATCGTATGCCCGGAAATAATGACACCAATACAAATTCCTAATCGAACAAGGATAACGATTAACTGACCAGACACAACCGCTGATGTTTCACAACTAAATGTCTTTGATTTTCTGTAGTTCGATCGTGTTGTACAGTAACCTTTCTACTTGCTCTTAAATACAGTTTCAGTCTCAGTAGCTTCAAATCACAAATAGAGAGCGTGATGCTGTTGTGCCACAGATGTGCAATGACTACGGAGACACGAACGAACGGCAGTGAAATGGAACACTATTTCACAGACACGTATGACGCGATAAACACATCAGTAATACAAGAGACTACTCTAGCTTGAGCGTACATAATTGACGGATCAAAAATGCAGTTCTGATGGTCAAATTTAGTCCGCACACCGAAAGGTAGTAGATCCGGTTGACTTTACACATGCACCAAAATATTAAAAATAATGAATAGAGATGGAAAAATAAAAAAGTGGCGCAATGAAGGATGACTTCGAAAAGAGCGAGCAAGATGCCGCAAGTATTGGATAAATGTGTGACCGGAATGTGCAATCGGAGTGTCCACACGAATCCGCGGGACAAAGCGAACAGCGAGGTAGGTGTGAACTGAGCATAGCAGGTAGCTGGGCAAGCCAGGCTTGTTTGACCGTCTATGACGCCCCGCTGATTGTTCAGTATTTGTCTGTCTAATTGAGTCAAAGGAAAATCTCATGGGCACAGCAACATCGTAATGCATTGCAGTTGTCTGGCTCTATAGATCAAGACGAGTTACGAGGCAACTATACTGCGCTTTTTCGACGAGTTTATTTAGCTGAATAAAACTATGTCCATGAAGGGCTGAGTTTTGTGACATACGGAGTTAAGAAAAATGTTCAAGAGCACCAATGACCTCACTATGACGTCACAAGCAAGAAGATTTCCAAGTACTTGGGTGGCTGATTCCCAGGCCACAACGCAAGAAGATGGTCCGCATAAGTTGCTAACTAGACTGGCTATCAAGGTGCTGCAGTGACTTGAGCATCGCTATGTTAGCTTTAGTCATCTCGAGATCAACACCTACTAAATGCGCAAGTGGCATAACACCGGACAAACTCGGGATGCCCAAGTTGGAGGAGAAAAGTGGGAGAGTACCAAAGTCTGTATGGCTGCTTCATATCATGCAACCACAGGGCGCTGGTTTTGTTTTTAAGTCATAGGTGTTAGGCGAGAGTCTGGAAAGCTTCTAGTCTAGATTTGAGCAATCTGATAGTGTCCAGGAACAACCATGACTATTCAGTTACACACTGGGATAAAAGTGCATCGTCAAATGTGCAAGTTCATAGAGGCCGCTACAACGGTTGAACCCAGCAGAGTGGATAGATGAGAACTTGTTACAGATGATGTTTTTTCGAATTTCAACCTGCATCCCTAACGACACTCAAAAACGTCATAGTCAGCCTTCCATCTGTAGTCCATAGTGTAAAATCCAGTGACTGCACAGTTGTCGCAGCAGCAACTCATGGCTTTCCGTCGTGGAAAGAGCTTTTCCAGACTGAAATGGCCGATTTCTCAATCAGCATTCAACATTTGAACTCAAACGCACACTAAAGAAATCAAGTGATGACGTATGCTGTGTATCCGAAATCAGGGTACAAAGTTTCGGCGCGGTCACCAGAATGACTGCCTCCAGCTTGATTTCTCGCCATTGGTTACACGCATCCAAAAACCCTGAGGAAGCAACCATGAGTCACACCGCAGATGATGCTCATCCCCGGGGTAATATCTTTGCTCGACGATCGGATCCCGTGCAAATGAACTGACGACACCAATCAGAGTTCAGGGAGTAGCGCCAGATGTAGCGTGTGCATGGTTATTGCGTGTGTCCTAACACTCATCAGTCTTGATGCCATTGAACTTAGCAAACAAATGAATCAAATATGCATTTAGATGTAGAGTGCAGCTGTGTGCGAGTAATACAACCAAAAATTTCGGAAGCTAAGTTAGGTGCACCACGTTAACATTTGCATGCCTGCATGATCCAATGAGCTATACTCGATGATGCTTCTTGCACATTCAAAGTTACTCATACCAGATTAGTCAATGGTTATAGGCTAGACTAACAAATCTCCTGGCCATCCAATGTGGAAGTGGAATGAGGATGACCCATTATTACTTAAATCGGACCTCATGTATCACAATGTCAAGTGCCCGCTTCTATGCGGTCAAAGTTGTGAACCAAAGGTTTTGGTTGAGAACCCGTTTTTCTCGAGTTTAACACTGTCCAACCCAGCAGCATCCTGCCCATGCAATGCAGTGAAACCTCCTTCAAACTTCTTGTGGTTACTAATGAGTAGGAGGATTTTAATTTTAATTTTTTAGTCCCAGTAGCTAACAAGCTACATGGCACAGCCTAGTCCGGAAAAGCATTAGTTTCAAATGCTATGGACGTAGCGTCTAGTGAGATGAAGTCATGAGATTCGCAGGCTAGCCACTGTCATCTGCTAAGGTAGTTACGTGCATGCCAGTGGAAGATAGGTCGTGCTATATCCCAGTTACCAGGCAAATTACGTAGCCTAGCCGACGTCCCCCATTGCTCAGTGGCTTAAGCTGCTGGCTAGGTGGCATCTGCCTCTAGCGGTCATGACTTCGGTCCCCAGTAGGGGACTGAGGGAATGCGCACCACTGACGAGCCCCCATTATGGCGAAACGCGTCTGCTGTTTTTCCGGACTAGGTTGTGTTATGTAGCTTGCGAGCCACTGGGACTTCTTGATGCTCTGGCCGCCGCAGATGCTAATCGATGGCGGCCTAGCTGTTACATAGAGCAGGGTGCATAGGGGCGAGTGTGCCACTGCTCACGCCTTCTCTCCTTCTTATTCCTCTCATCCATGCCGTCCCATTCAATCTTCCTTTTTTACTCCCTGTTTCAGCCATCCGATTATTGGTTCTCCTCCACCGTGCGTCATTATCCATTTATCATCTAGTTTCGACTCACAAACAACCGCGGAGCGTCACCTCTCCCCTACAAACAAGTCCGTCCAACCATGCGCACAACCACAGTTCATCCTCACTTTGCTGCAGATCGGTAAACAGGCAACATTTGCCCAAGCATTATACCCCGTTGAAAGAGCTGTTGTATAACGGAAAACCCGCGTACAAAACTGGTTCTATGGTCACTAAATGATGGAATAAATCGTGCGCCATTGACGGTACTTTCTTATTACATCCATCCGGGGATAACGCAGCTTCGAATGCCAGTCAAAGCGGAGAGAGGTGCTTTGAGACCCCGGGCTGAAGATGGGCTGGTAGACTGGATCCCAGTCAGTAGCCGGATGTACGCTGCTCGATCATCTGCTCGTATAGGGCCTCTAAGTTGTGTGAGTCACTTGCAGCATTCCCGTCACTGCTACCTATTCCTTCTCAAAACGTGGCGCTGACTAGGTGAGAGATGAATCCTATCACCAACTGGGCGATCTCCTTCGTAACAAAACAAGTAGAGATATTAGAATACTGGGTGATGATCTGAACGTGTGAGTAGGAAAATTATCCACTGATAAACTGCATCTGGGTGGCCAAAACGATGTAGGATTCCGTAATGATAATGGTGAGCGGCTGCTATATTTGTGTGAAAATGCTCTCTTATTTCTTGTGAGCACTAATTTCCGACACAGCACCCGCC